GGCGAATATCTTCACATCATGTTAATCTCGGCGCCGGTAATATCTGCCAAGAGAAAACCTGTGACACGAACCGTTTGTGTCATTGCAGAGAAATTTAGCATGGAGGAATGTACAGCTTTAAGGTTTTGGCGACAAGGGTGTCGGAAGATTATCAACCGCGAATCGTTGGAGAAAGGCTGGCCTACCATGAAATTTGCATAGATTCTTGTGGAGGCAAAAGAACAAGGTGATGGTGTAATAGATACGGTAGCATTAACACCAAAAAAAAAGAAAAGTAGTTAAGTTGTTTTAGCTGACGAATGGCGTTTGATTGTAGGAAGCCCAAGGAGTTGATTGATGAAATCATTGAGAAAGTTAACGACAGTGAGCATTGGCAAAGTGCGACCAAGTGTTGGAGCATAATGATTAGTGACTGAAAAGAAGATCCGCTAGCATGTCTACACAAAGAAGCCACCGTCAATTAGTGGAGCCGATAATTTCGGGATTTGTAACTCTTTGTGGGTAATTGTTGATAAATAATAGGAGTCGTGAATGGCATAGGTAACTCCTTAGTAACTGTTTGTAAGTAACCGTCGATCCACATTGTGCTCTGTGTAAGGGTTCATTAAAAAGCATAGAAGATTGATTGTTCCTTACTTTTTTGTGATCCTTCATCTTCCATATATCATCTACATTAAAGACAATGATTGTTCCCAGTATTCACGCACTTAAATTCTTTGCCATTTGCTTTCATTTCCAAAATCACCTAGATTTTTTTTCCAAAATCGACCGTTTTGGAAAAAGATATTTTTCTTTTTAGGTAAAATATCTTTTTGGCATGCATAATGGGACTCTTTTTATTGATTCGAGGAGATTATCATGGCAAGAACCGGAATTCAACAAGAAACCTACAATGCCGTTGGCAACAATCCAGGCAATAGCTGAGGGGGCTATGCAATTTGAATCTTCAATCGCTTTAAGATCAGCCGAAGAAAATCACCTAGGAAATGTTGACCTTCCAAGACTCACTGAAGAACAAATGAAGGAAGTGGCACCGCACCCTAACAGGGTGTCAACTATGAGGAGGTTGCTTGAAGATCGGCAAAACAAGATGACCCACTACACAGTAAGGCACACGTCTGATGTAATCAAGTTTATGGTCATTAATGCAATCAATGATACCATCTCGAGACTGGTATCTCGAGATCAGGATCGTCTAACCAGCCACTTCTACTCTAGTCAGATCAATAGTTCTAATAATATAGGCTAGATTTTCCCCCCTATAAGAATTATGCAAAGGTCCAAATCTAATCAAGGAAAAAGTGATAGTAATAACCGAATGTCAGGCTGGGAGTGTGCCACATAACGTGGCAAAACATGCCTTGTAGGCCTAATGTGCCGATGAATGGTAATACAGATAATCCGGCTAGACTAGCATTGCCCCAGGGGGCGACAAGATGGACTACTTATTCCGCAAATGATCCCGGAGCAATAAGCCGAAGGAGTTTGGCAACAACTAGGCTTAGATATAGGAGTTGTTAGACCTGTCTACGGAAACCCTATCCCAAGTGGGTGGACACCTAGGCTTTAAAACTCTTGACTTTGCCATCTTCATCTGTGAAGAAAAATCGGGTGACTGCGAACGCTTTGGCCAAATCATAGCCCCATGTGGTGAAGCAAGAACAAATGAATGGTTAATACTTAGCTTATTTCCTTTGTCTTTGTCAAAAATTGCCTCTACCTAGTACGCTAATTTATTTCCTAAGTCAATGTGTAGTTGGGAGGAGATGAGAATACAATTTCATTCTCAATTATATAAAATGATACCTAAGGTATCGGTTATTGACCCGGCGAGACTCTGTCAATACAATATCGAGTCAATCGATCAATTCATTGATGGATTTAAGAAGGTCAGAAATTGATGCCTCGCTTCACTCTCAACGAACAAAAAATACAAATTCGGCTATCAATTGATTGAAATCCAAATTGGGGGAAAGATTTGAAGGACAAGGCTTTATCGATTTATCTCGATCGGCAACAAAGGTGTCTAAATGTGAGCATTTACTAAAAGAAAGAGAAAAGAAGCCATCCGAAGGATTTCAAACGAAATGCGGCTTCAATATAAAATTACGAATCGGAAAGTGAATCCGATCAAGAAGATCCAAACCTAGAAATTCATTGTAACAGGAAATTGTGCTCGACAAGCCTCAAGTTTGTTTAAGCCTTAAAGCACGCTCGAGCGAAAGAGACAACAATGACTAAGGCTAAAGATACGCAAAGTCTACTCATTCAATATCGACAAACGGGACGAAACCTTCGATACGAATTTTAAAGATGGCCCGATAAAATTATCAGAGGGCCAAATTATTCCAAGTCGATAGTTTTTATCTTCGTAAATGGGGGAGGGCCAAGTCAATATAGGTTCATAATTTTAGCTCTTTAAAATTTTTGTGCGGACAGAAATACGTGCGAAATCGAGATATTTTCACCCACGCGTTGTTAGGTGCGGAGCGAAACAAATATTGCGTTTCTCGTGCGTTTCCCGATGACGTGGACCGTCGAGGCACTCGGGACCTAATTTCCGAATTTATAAAAAGAGACATCGAAAGTTCGAAAAGAAAAACGAGGAACTTGTCAGAGCACATGTCCCCCGCCCCTCCCCTCAAAAGTCAATTTAGATTAAGCTTCTTCGGTCAACGGCCGAGCGGCTCGGCTGCTTTGGTCAACTGTCAAACCCCCCCTTTCTTTTTCTGAACTTGCATTCACATCACATCTTTAATGAGGATGGCCACTTGATGTGGGAACGGACGGGAATGCGTTGTGCATGGTTTGGAAAAAACAAAAAAAAAAACCCATGTCGACAATTCCATAAATGGATGAACATGTGCAGTGTCGCAATGACCGGGTTCAAAGTTCGGGCTCGCGGGCCGAGTCTGTTTTGCGCGTTCTCGTGTTCCCTTTAACCAAAGTCCGTTTTTCTTTATGCGTTACTCGCCGGGAGACCGTGTAGGTATTCCAATGGAGAGCCTGGAGGTAGCAATCGAATCGAGACTAGCCGGGCCACCCTAATCCAACCAAATTAAGTTACTGATGATGACTTTGGATTCTAGATTCCCATCATTTAACGAGTATCTTTACATCATGTTAATCTCAATGCTGGTATTGTGCGTGGAGATAAAGCCAGTTGCACGAACCGTTTGGGTTATTGCAAAGAAATTTAGCATCGAGGAATTCGGGATATCCCCTTAGGTTTTAGCAATAAGGGTGGAGGAAGAGTATTAACTGCGCATCGTCAGAGAAAAGCTGGCCTACCATGAAATTGGCATTTTTCTCGTGGGGCGGAGGCAGGAGAACAAGGTAAAACATGCACGAGATTCGTTAGATTCTGATATGTCTGCGAGGGCACAGGGCATATATGTCGGGGGTCAACATCCTTTGCGTCATTCTGGTTCAGATTCATGAACGGCTTTTAGTCGTTGGAGCTAAAAGCGAATTATCCAAGAGTCCCGAACAAGAAGTCAAAGAACCAGCAAGAAAACCAGGTGAAAAGCTATGAAACAGCAGGGCAGGGGAAGAAATGGACATCAAAGTTACTGGGCGGAGGCTTCATCCTCTTGCTTTTTCCGAGTACCTGAGTGAAGGATACAAGAATCCTATCTAGCAATTATACCAAAAACCAGAACAACAAAGTGAGCCATATGTATAGGTGACCATGAATCTCAGTGTTGAGAGTGCGCAGCAGAAGGCTAAGGAAACCGCCAAGAGAGAGCCAAGTCCGAGCCCGTCAATATATTCAGTTGGACCCACCTTTACTCAAAAGTTTAAGTCAATAAGTTATGGATCAATTTGTATATATTAACCACTTCACTTCAATGTGAGACTTTTCTAACACAACTTACACGTACATTTCAACAGTTAGCATGATGCAGCCACAAAGAAAACCAAAGTGTAACTCTAAGATTCGTTCTGGTTGAAGTACCTAATGCACAAACATGCACACACACATGCCTACACAAACCCAAATCGCTTGCCAGACTTAGGGAAGTGTAGTAAGAATGTAATAAGGGAGCCATGCTCTTTCGTTTCATCTCTTGCATGTTCCTGGAATCAATAACTATGGATGATTCCCATTCGATTCGCCTATTTTAAGCATTCTTAGATCATGTCCATGCAACTTGCTGTGGAAACTCTGGACATGTTTCAATGTATATATTGTCAGCATGAATGGTTTAGATGCAACTGTGGTTCAGTTGCAATCCTGTTGAACCCGGCGAACATTACCAAACAGTATGCATCGTAAGATAATGAATATTTCCCAAAAACATGTGCTCCTTTACGCTTATACATTTTTATGCCGCATTGCTAGTGGCCTAACAGGAAATGCTTATACTGGGTGGAATGACTCCACATGGAGACAATCACTTCTAAAAGATTCCACCAGCCAAGTACAGTGATATTTCCTTACGTAGCAGATTGAGGAATAGGAACAAAGCACTTGCAAATGGAAATGAAAAGAGAGAGAATGCGAGTAGGCTCATATTCAGCGGTGTAATGGCCTTTTCTGACCCTTGGTTCTTTGCCCATCGAGAGAGCTGATACAATTGTACAGCCTAATTCGAGGCATGGCACGCAAGAAGCAAGTAGTTGTGCGGCAGCACCATCCAGGCAAACCTCAAGAACAATGCCGAATACACACATATGACTGCACAAGCCAAATAAAAGGAGAGATGACTGTCCAGCTGAATTCTTTCAGTTTCTTCTCATTCTCTAGCTTGTTCAGAAGCCAAACACAACCTCTTAACCATGTAGTGATTAGTTCGGTGTTTCTATGAGCAATGTAACTAGCGAATCGTGAATGAAGCAGGCCGTGGTAATTCTTCCCATCATTTACTTACAAGGAAAAGACACAGGAAATGTTACTGCTTGCAGGAGGGGGGATTCCCATTATTGCAATTCAGATTGCTAATGAAAGCCAGAGGACAGAAATGAGGCTTTCAAAATTGCGTGCCAATGTAGTCCTCTTTCGCTCCAAGGAACAGCTTTTTCTAAATTAGCTTTTGTAGGAATCAAATTACAATGGATTAGTCACTCGCTAGTAATGCCTTGGTGGTCTTCCAAATTATATAGATGCCCTAAAAAGTGTCAAAAGAACTTGAAACAACATGCACCGAGAAGTCTAATTTCCTCTTCTGGGCATACTGTCTAGAGTTTAGCTGATCTGACAGATGTGGCAAGATCGACCAGTTCTCTCCTCAAGATCTTCCCTGCTGGAGATTTTGGGATGCTACCGATGAAAGCTACCCGCCTTATCTTCTTGTATGGAGCAACCTGCGGCAGTACTCAAAGCAATAATTTGGAACCACTAGATAAATTGTCAACTCTAATTGAGAATTGTGATAGTAATTCTAGGGTAATCCTATTATCCTGCGTGCATATTCCCGAAAACTGTCCAAAGTACAGTTCCCATGAGTCAAAGCACTTGAACAAAGAGAAGACAATGATTACATGACCTATAAGGTAAACTAGCACATATATATCCATAGCATGCACGGTTTATGTACGGATGTCCTTGTATGCATGAGATTGAATGAGTGGAAAATCCCGTGTTTGCTTTCAGTCCGGGAGTTCTATATAACTGCAAGAACTTCTAAGAGGAGAGGAGAAGGCGCAAGTCAATGGGCTGTTGAATCTCGTATTTTACATCTCTCTCATAATAAGCAGCATCAAATGTGATCTGTTTCCTACCATGTTATGTAGCAGGAAACGGACCCCAAAGAACAAGTTGTAATTCTTTTGCAGCATTAAGCATAAGATAGCACAACTCAGTGCAAATAAATGCAGATACGTACAGCACCTTAAAGCCTCCAGGCACCCTTGACTTGTGTCTAGAAACAATAATCTCCATTCTATATGGGAGAGACAAGTACACTCGCTCAGTGGATTCCAAAAATTACCTGTTTAGAGATGAAGTCCATAACCTGAGATTCAGTAATGTTGCTTCCAGGTTTTCTAACCACGAAAGCCATGGGAATCTGCCCTACTTCTTCATCAAGATAACTGCCTCCACATAATCACAAAGGACAGAAAAAGTGGATCACTTAGGGCGGGCTGTTTGGCAACTTGCCAAATAGTAAAAATTTCTGTTCTTTTGTTCCCAGAATCAGTTTGGGAGCAGAAATCCATTTGTTAAATTTTTTGTGCCCGGGCACAATTTTGCAAAAAATTGTTCCCAGAATCAGTTTTGGAACAGAATCAAGAAGCAAAAAAAAGTAGCTTCTTGATTCTGGAACAATTTTTCCATTTCTGATTCTTCTTCATTTTCTTCTTTTTTTTGGTTTGTTGTTGTTCTTCGGCTTGCCGGCGACTGGCCACAGGCTAGGGCCGACGAGGGCCGCGACGGCGAGGCCTCGCCGTCGCCACCCAGGCGACGGACCTGGGTGGCGACGGCGCGGGCCGCGACGCCCTCGCTGGCCTTGGCTTTTGGCCAGTCGCCGGCTCCGGCAACCGGCCTTGGCCAAGGAAGAGAAATGAAAGAAAGAAAAAAAAAAGAAAAAAAAGAAAGAAATATTAAAAAATTCAAAATATTATTAATAAAATGAAATTTTGTGTAGTTACCAAACGCATTTCTGTTCTTTTTCTATTCTAAGAATAGAAATTTTGGGCAGTTACCAAACGCCTTCAAATGCTTAGAAATTGTTTCTGGGCACAAAATAAAAAAGAATCATTTCTTAGCAGAATCTGTTTCCGGACACGGAATGGTTGCCATGCACAGCCTTAAAGCAACATAGGACTACTATGAGTTAAGAAATGGCAAGAGGACAAACAGTCTAGGAAATTCTGATGAACTTGTTTTATAACAGAAGTTTGACTGAAATGCCTATATGTAAACCGATGTATCATCCTCAATGAGCAATAGTCTCCGAAAAAATGCAGAGCACATCCTACTAACAGATGCAAATTTAAAAGTGTGGGAAAAGTTTGATATAGAAGCCGGCAATTCATATGAATCATATCAATTATTATAACTAAAAAAACATATGAGTTCTAACTTCTACAAGATGTAATTTGAGCGATTCATACGAATCATACCAAATATTAAAACTAAAAAGAACATATGAGTTCTGAATTCTGCAAAATGTAATTTGAGCGATAAGAAATACTCAAGGAAGTGAAGATGCATACGGAATCACAGCAGCATCCGCAACATCAGGGTTGGAGTGAAGAAGATGTTCCAACTCAGCAGGAGCAACCTGAAATATGCATACGATGATCCGTCACGACTTGATGAGAGAAGGCAACCGACAAGCCAAAAACAACTTGAGAAAAAGGCTATTTTAACTAGTCACCTGATATGCCTTGTATTTAATCAACTCCTTGAGTCTGTCCACAATGAACAAGAACCCCTCGGAGTCAAAATAACAAAGGTCACCAGTCCTCAACCAACCATCCGAGTCAATTGTTTCGGCAGTTGCCTTGTCATCCCCTACATAACCTGCCACTCCAGTCACCTATTTTTAGCACCATTCTATTGTGGGGAAATCAGAGAATTTTTATTCAATGGAATAATGCGCTGAATTTGTTAATGGTGAATGATAAAAAAAAAAATACTCAAAAAAAGTACTGGTACTCGCTAGCAAATTTTATTTGCATAGCACCATGTCACCATGTATAATGCAGCTACCTTACAAGCTAGTAATTTGAACTTTCTATTGACAAGGGCAACCTAGAATCTGGCCAACATAGATTCTTTTTCTGTTGTTTCCATCGTGAAGCAACCAATTGGCCCAGTATTTGCCATTATGATTACAAATCCTCACAATTTGGATCCACAATGACAAAAAGGTGCAAAATGTTGTTGGTCATGATGAAAAGGTGAAATGCAAGATACTGAGAGATATACTGTTAAAGGAAGATGTGTCGAAAGAAGCAACAATTGAAACATGTCAACAAAATGTGAATAGAGTCCTGAAATCAGCAGCAAATAACGTAACACCACCCAGAAAAAGAGCCAGACATTTGATGCTAGGGAAGAAGCACGATAAACTGATGGATAACTTCCAGTCGGAAGTGTCAAAGGAAGGTGTTATGTTTACACAGTTGAATAAAGCTCCTAATTATGGCCAATCCTTACATTTCATGATTGTTGGGCCTCGCAACCATAGCTCTCCTCTCTGACCAGGAGGCAGGGCATCCGCAGTGGTTGGATCAACAATCTTCGCTTCCATGTGATGAGCTATGCGACCGACGGAACCATGGTGGTTCGCCTCATCAGGCCCCAATGTCCCGGTTCCCACTCCACAAGTCTCTGTCAGACCATATCCCTATTATACAATGAGAGTATTTGACACTTAAGAGATACAAATCTGATGTAGTATTAGTAGCATCATGGTTTCCTCACATTACAAACCTACAAATCAGAAGAACAATTTGATATTTCAAACATAAGCAGAGCTGAAACAGAAGTCGGATAGTTTCCCAGATTAGTAGGGGCAGGAAGCCATTGCCATAGTAGTCGAGAAAGCACAAGACAGACGATTAGAAGTTCGAGCTTGTTAAACTAGTTATTGCTCAAAGCAATCGTTTTAACCCACATAGTTCAATCAACACATTATGTAACTTTTAATCAATCCTTCAGATTATTAACTATTGAAGAACACCCTGGTTATAACTATGATGATCCAAACCCGATATCGGGGGCTTAAGTTCATAAGCATGTAACCAAACTCGCCAACTTAGTTAGAAAGTTGCACAAATTTCGAGTGTTGATCTCAGTTACACTCCATGGGATCCGGATCTAACAATGCACCACTTGCCGCTACGCTCCTCCGAGGACCATAGTGCAAGAGGAAGGTGCTCATGCTGGCCTACTGTCTTCAAAAAAAGTAAAAGCTGACAACTAGAGGAGACTTCTTCTTCTTCATTTGATCACATACCAGGTCATCGTCTAAACACTTTAAAACCAGGAATCATGATAGTTCACAATCAAATTGAACATTAATCAATAGTTTAATCACGCATCCTTCTGAGGGTTCGTTATAGATCAGCATTCGACCAACTATTATTTTGTTAGAATGTGAAAAAATTAGTAGTTAATGGGGGTATTCCCTAACTCGGACAACCATCATCATAAACAAGGACGCACCATCTATCTGGATAAACAATTAAGCATTGACAAAAGCGTATCAAGTTTGATCTAGACCCTACCAAATATTAATTATAAATTTACCTGAACGATCTCCACATGGGGGAATCTTTCTCTGAACCCATCGGCGACCTCCTTCCCGAGCGGAGCGCCGCCGGATCCGAGCACCTGGAGCGAGCTCAGATCGTACTTCCCCGCGATCTCCGACTTCACGAACGCCACGATCAACGGCGGGGAAACCGGCATTTTCGTCACTCGGTACTTCTCGATCGCCCTTAACATCTCCACGAAATCGAACCTCTCCATCAGAACCGCCGTCTCCCCGAGCGCGAACGCTTTGACCAGCATGAAGAACCCGAACACGTGGAACAGAGGCAGCACGAAGAGGGACACTGGGTGCGGCTCGTGCTCGGCTCGCTGTAGCCGCAAGTGATAAAACCCCGCGAGCAGCACAATCAGATTGCGGTGAGTCAGCAGGACTCCTTTGACTCTGCCCGTTGTGCCCGACGAGAACAGGATGGCCGCCGAATCGGACTGCTCCACCTGGTTCGGAGGCATCGCCTCTGCCATAGGAACCGAGCCGTACTGAGCCAGCATGGACTCGAACTCGGGCGAGTCGATGAGGACGGTGCCGTGGGGGACCCTGGGGAGCTTGGGAGCGATCTGGGAGGTGGAGAAGGCGATGGCCGGACGGCAGAGGCGGACCTGGTGGGCGATCTCGGAGGGGGAGCTGAGGGGATTGGCGGGGCAGACGACGACGCCGATGGAGAGGAGGGCGAAGTAGACGACGGGGACGTGCAGGGAGGGAGGGGCGAGGATGAAGGCCACGTCGCCCTTGGCGAGGGAGAAGCTGGACTGGAGGGAGAGCGCGAGGGAGCGGACGCGGCGGAGGAAGTCCGGGTAGGAGAGGAGGTGACCGGAGGTGGCGTGGACGAGGAAGGCGGCGGAGGTGGAGGGGGGGAGGAGGGAGAGGGCGTAGTGGGAGACGGAGAGGGGGAGGGACGGGGGAGGGAGGGGGAAGTGGGGGCGGAGGCTGCGGAAGGTCCTGGTGGCGGGGCAGTAGCCGCTGCCGGGGTCGACGGCGGAGTGGCGGGAGGGGCTAGTCGGGCCCGCCATGGAAATGGGAAGCGGAAGCAGGAGGAGAAAGAGAGAAAGAGAAGCAGTCGATGCTTCGGTTATCACAGTTGGAAGCCAAAAACCGACGGCGTGCGTTGAGATGTCCGTCGGTTACAAAAGCATAACAACGTCGTCCTCTGCTACTGCTGCTGCTGCTGCTGCTGCTTGCACTGAAAATGATAACTAGACATATAGAAGAAGCAAACTAAGGGCCCATTTGGTTCAGCATTTTCAATGCTCATTTGAAGAATGTAAATATCTTTAGGTGAAAGTTATTTTGGAAAAATACAAATAGCGTTTGGTAAAAAATCATTTGAAAGCCATTTGAGAAAATACAATTGTATTTGGTTATTTTTTTACAAATGAGCTTTGAGAGGTTTTTTTTTTCAAAAAAAAGATACTCTTTGGATGAACAGTTCCGGCGAAGGGCTACAGCCGCCGGCGAGCCAGATCCGGCGCCGGCGGCCGTCGCCCGACCTCAGTGGCCCTGTCGCACGAGGTCGCGCGACCCTAGGCGGCGGTCGCCGGGCAGCGACCCGGCGGCGGCCGCCAGGTCGCGCGACCCAGAGCGGCGGCCGCTGGGTCGCGCGACCCGAGCGGCGACTTTGGGTCGCGCGACCGACGGCGGCCCGGCGACGGCCAGAGGTAGCGCGACCCGGGCGGCCGTCGCCTTTGCACTGGGGTCGCGCGACCCGGCCGGCCGTCACTGGGTCGCTCGACCTCGGGCGCGACCCGGCGGCCGCCGCACAGGGTCGCGCGACCCGCGGCGACCGCTGCACAGGGTCGCGCGACCTCGGCGTCGCTTGAGGTCGAGCGACCGAGGCGACTCTCAAGGTCCAGCGACCCCAGACGGCAGTGGCCGGTGTCGCGCGACCCCCAGGCGGTGGTCGCCAGGGTCGGGCTAGCCATCAGGCGGCGGTCGCCGGCCGCCGGAGCTGCTGCAGGGAGAAGATGAACAGTTCCAGTGAACAGTACCAGTTGCATTTCGAAAATGAGCATTCCCAATGGACCTTTCAAGGTGCTTTGGCCAAATGAGCATTGGAAATATAATTGCATCTCCCCAAAGTTAGTAAAAAAATTTGTCAAACACCATTTGCATTTGGCCAAGGGCCTTTAGAGCCCAAATGAGCATTGAAAATGCTGAACCAAACGGGGCCTGAGAGTGGAATTGTCTGTGATGATGAGCATGTCCCACAGCCAAACCAAATCTTAGGGGGTGTTTGGTTTAGCTTTGGGAAGGGGCTTTGAGCCTCGAAAGCCCCTTTCCAAAATGCTAGGGTGCTTGGTTCAGCTTTCATGCTAGCATTGGTTAAATGCTAGCATTTGGAATGCTGAAAGTCCAAAGCTGGTTCGGACCAACTTTGGGCTTTCAGCATTCCACGAATGTTACTGTTCACGTCTCTTTTTTTTTTTTTTTTGGTTTGAAGCTGTTCATCTTCTTCACCAGGCAGCCGACGAGAGCGGCCGGCGAGGGAGAAGGGCCGGCGAGGTCGCCTGGGATCGGGCGACTGCCCAAGCGACCGCCCAGGCGACGCCGTCGCTGGGGTCGCTCGACCTAGGCGACGCCGTCACCGAGATCGCTCGACCCGGGCCGTCGCCGCACTGGGTCGCGCGACCCGAGCAGCGACGGCCCGGGTCGAGCGACTACAGTGTGGCGGCCCGGGTCGCGTGACCCAGTGCCGGCGCTGGGTCGCGTGACTTCGAGGCGGCCGTCGCTTGGGTCGCGACCCCCACCGAGGGTCGCCTGGCCTCGGGCGACCGCCGGCGGTGGCAGATCTGGCTCACCGGGGGTCGCTCGACCTTGGGCGACGGCCGCCAGCGCCAGATCTATCTCGCCGGCGGCCGTAGGCCATCGCCGGATGGCCAGCGGTCGGCTCCAGCGATGGGTAGGTTAGTTTTTTTTTTTTTAATAAATAAGATAATTCTCAAAGTCCATTTGTAAAAAAAATTCACCAAACACTATATTTTGGTCAAAGTAGCTTTACAAAATATTTTTACCAAACACCATTTGCATTTCCTCAATGGGCTTTCACCCAAAGGTATTTGCATTAGCATTTTTAAAAGGGAAAAAACCACCAAAAACCCCAAACTATGCTCATTGTGACACATTTATCCCGAACTTTTTTTCGTGACACCAAAAACCCCAAACTTTTGCCCGTGTGACACATTTACCCTCCGTTAGGGTTTTGTGAAAAAACACCGTTAAAAATCCTACGTGGCCACTGACGTGGACGACGGAATGCGAACGGCGCTGACGTGGCATCCATGTGGCGTTTAAGAAGCAAAGCAGCGTCGTTTTACATCTGACGTGGCTGAAGAAATAAAAATAAAAAGGACATCGTCTCTCTCTCTCTCTCACAGTAGCTTCACGTTCAAAACTTCTTTCGCCATGTTCAAGAGGTCTCTGAAGCTCCACGGTCTCCACCTACATGAACGAGCCCTTTCTTTGTGATCAGTCTCTCTCACTTGCTCCACCGTTGCTCCACCGTTGTCCCCCCCACCCTGAGGGCGTCAATGCAGTTGGGGACTTGTGGTTTCTTCTTCCTTTTTACGCTTTCCCAGAGTCGCACGAAGGAGATGAACTATCAAAGAGAAGCGAGGAATATCGTTGCCCATCTCGGGCCTCAGGAAGCTTCAACGGAGAAGACTAAATCGGGCTTCTCCATTTGACAACTAATCGCAAGCATGGACTGAGATTTCCAGAGAGAGATAGCATGAACAAACCCTAGAATTTGGGGCAAATGTGTTTTTCAATTCAAGGGGGTGGGGGGACAACGGTGGAGCAACGGTGGAGCAAGTGAGAGAGACTGATCACAAAGAAAGGGCTCGTTCATGTAGGTGGAGACCGTGGAGCTTCAGAGACCTCTTGAACATGGCGAAAGAAGTTTTGAACGTGAAGCTACTGTGAGAGAGAGAGACGATGTCCTTTTTATTTTTATTTCTTCAGCCACGTCAGATGTAAAACGACGCTGCTTTGCTTCTTAAACGCCACATGGATGCCACGTCAGCGCCGTTCGCATTCCGTCGTCCACGTCGTGGCCACGTAGGATTTTTAACGGTGTTTTTCACAAACCCTAACGGAGGGTAAATGTGTCACACGGGCAAAAGTTTGGGTTTTGGTGTCGCAAAAAAAGTTCGGGATAAATGTCACAATGAAGATAGTTTGGGGTTTTTGGTGGTTTTTCCTTTTTAAAATTGAACCAAACAGGCCTCTGAAGTCAGAGAGATTAAATAACTTGGGTCCACTATTTAAACCTTTTCTTTTCTGAAGTGCATTCACGGGCCTTCGTCATTATTACAAAGATGAAGAAATATACCTAACTATAAAATGGTCCCCTTCAAAATAGGGAAAATTTTGAAATAGGCCTCCCTAATCCAACCACTTTAGGCTAATGATGACTTTGGATTTTAGATTCCGATCCTATGATGAATATCTCTCCGTCGTGTTAATCTCGGTGTCGGTATTATCTGTCAAGATAAAGTGCCCATAACATGAACCGTTTTTGTTACTGCAAAGAAATTAGGCATTAGGGAATTTAGAATACATCCTAAGGTTTTGGCAACAACGGGTGTAGGAAGAGTACTGATTAGGGGTGATCCATCACATGGCGGGTAGATTCCGGACCCTATCAAATTTAGTTCCAAGTTTTTGGAATTGAGTTCTGAACCGGTCGGTTCGGGAGGCGGCTTGCTTATGTTGAGATACTCAACCTCAATATACATTTTTTTTTGTGCAAAATTTCTTAATGAAGAGACTTGTAGAGTTTGGTTTTGAACCAGTTTAAAATGGATTCTCCCCCGGCTTTGAAACCAATTCAAAACTATTCTACTTAGGAACTGGTCTCACAAGGCTGGTTTAACGAGTAGAAACAATCAATTTAAGGCCCGGGGAACCAATTAAGGACGGTTTTCAAATTTTTTACATTGGCTTGGAACCTATATGTAAGGTCGGTTTGATTTAGTTCTTAAGTTGAAAGTCCTATTTGCTCACCCCTAATATTAACCACGCATGTAGAGAAAGGCTGACCTACTGTGAAATTGGCATTTTCTCGTGGATTCACTTGGAGTCGAATGAACAAGGTGGCAAGTACTGATATAACTTATATCTCCCTAAAACATGTACACAAATCCGACCATAAGATTTGAGAAAAAGCTCGAACAGCTATCCATAGATTGCATGTAACGACCCGGTCCGACGAGGGCAAGGAGTGATCGCCGGAGCCAGAGAGGGCTCGGATAAGGAGCGGCTCCCGGCAGATTTCGCGGATGGCGAGGGGATTGCATTGCTCTTGTCCCACATTGCTTAGGGAGTGAGATCTTGGTGAGTTTATAAGGCTTGGCCCCTAATCCTTGTGTAACGCGTTTTAAAACCGTGAGGACTTAATGTCCAAAGCGGACAATATTACACAAGGAGTGGCGCAGCGGAAGCGGGGTCGAGGTCCTTACAAATGGTATCAGAGCCGACTCCCGACCGCGTGTAGGGCCACAGCGAGGACGCTGTGCTCGAAGGAGGGGAGAATGTAATGACCCGGTCCGACGAGTGCTCGAAGGAGGGGAGAATGTAATGACCCGGTCCGACGAGTGCTCGAAGGAGGGGAGAATGTAATTTCGTTTGTCCCACATTGCTTAGGGTGTGAGATCTTGGTGAGTTTATAAGGCTTGGTCTCTAATCCTTGTGTAACGCGTTTTAAAACCAGGTCCTTACATTGCAGACATCCATGAAGGAAACACAAGCATAAGTTGCACTTAGCCAGAATAACACAACACTTGCAGAGGAACATCACAAGAAGGTTGAGATTTCATCACAAGAACCATGATCAATGGGTCAAGTGGTTGGGTTATGTTGGCTGGGTGACGATGGTTTATGGTTGACAAGTGGTGAAAAGGTGTGGCAAATGGTATTCATATTGTTTAGGGCCCAATTATGTTCAACCTTTAAGACGGTGGTAGAATTGCTGCATGCTCCAATAAAATGATACTAAAGTGGTGTCTTTTCAATAACGGATTGTCGAGTGATAAGATGTCACTATCAAGGTTAAAAAATGTACTAAGCACGATGAAAAACTTACTAGCATTAATACTCATTTATAATGATACATCATTTTGGTGCTGCATCAATGCCACCGCATAACCAATAGGCATGCGGCCCTGCTGGTAAAGGGATTGAGAGATGGGAACGCTAGTATCACAGGTGCGGGGC